GCGTCCTGGTGGGGGAAAGACAAGAACCATATGTGGCGGGCACAGAGATGGAGCTGTTGGGGGACATGGAGTGGGACAGAGAGACAAGGACAACATCACCTGGGGCGAATCGGCGTTTAATGGAAGAGTCAGGGGTTTTCCTCATCCATGTGGGTTTCTGGACTTTGATTTGAATGGTCCATTGGCTCAAAAGTCTGCGTGTTTTCTGGCCGGCCCATTCCATGAATTGTCATAAGGGCTGAGGGACCCGAGGATTTGAGACACAGCTCTGGGCATGCCCGTCCAGTGGGCATAGCCACGGAAGGACGCGATCCTGAGCCAGCTTTGCCTTTCAGCCAGCTGTGTGCAGGATTGTTTTCCGTCACCCCTCCCACAGTTTGGGTGGCCATATTCACATTACCAAACGGACGCGGTGATGTGTTTAGCGAGCTGGGTCTCATGGCTGGCCCTTGGCTTTGAGGGCTGTGCAGGCTTCAGAGCGTTTGGAAGCCCTTGTTCATGGAGCCCCAGCGCCCACTGTTTGCTGGACAAGGACAGCAGACCCCGCAGAGCTCTGCCCAGCCTTGCCTCACTGATGAAGCCCCTCCTTTACCTGTCACCTCCCTGCCTCCTCAGGATGGCCAGGGCGCTCCACACTTTTTAAATGTAAATCTGCTAGTTGAGGAACCCTAAGTGCCACCAGGCACTTGGTAATGTTCTGAGTGTCCATGGTCATACTCTCAGCCACTCTTAGGGCTCAGGGTACTAGGTCATTTGAAGTTTCTCCCAGTCACCCCCATGAGCCTCCTATTGCCGACACCTGGTAAAATGGGGGCTGCCGTCCTTGATGGCTGTGCTTCTCTGCCTGCTCGTTCTCACTGTCAACACTTTGGATTAAAACATGGGTTTTTCAGAACTGAAGGATTGCGGCAGCTTGCTTGACTGTAGAAGTTACAGATCTATTATGTGGGTACCATCTGTACTCCCACCAGTCTCAAATACTAAGTAGCAGCATACCAGAGCCAGCAAGGACACACAGATCCTTAATCCTCGTGCGGTGCAGTTTCAAGCACCTCTCTTAATTAATCATGAAATCCACAAGAGCTAAAGTTTGGAAGGACACACAAAATTTGAAGCAATCCATTAAAAATCTGAATCTGCCCCCTATTCTATACCCACCCGGCCAACTGCCAATACGTGCCTTCTTTTTGATTGATGACACATTTATCAAAATGAAAATATTCTCCTGGAATTTCAAAGAACTGATATTACACAAGGTATATTCTCTGAACCACAGCTGAAATTTAGGTGAAAGCAATTAAGCGAGAGGAATATTGAAATTCAGGCTACATACCTCTAAATAAACAAACAGTCCGCGGTTGTGTTTGTGTGCAGAATAATCCTGATTCAGACCAGCATGCTTACTGTTCAAAGTCCAGCCTGTCATACAGCCTTTGCTGAAGTGGCCAAGATGGAGACACTGCCTCACCTTTGGGCCCTCTTAGGGCCCACGTGCCAGACCGGAAGTGCACACCGCTGGAGATGGAGGCTCCTGTCTCCGCATTCAAGAATCTAGACTCTAAGATTGAACCTGGAGAAGACAGAAGGGAAGAAATTACAGCCAAGAAGGACAGATGATGAAAGACAAAGCAGAGCATTGACCGAAAGGGTCAACAAATGCAACAGTTGGTCCTTTCAAGCGTCCAATACAATTCCGTAACCCTTGGCAGAGAGAGCATAGAATTGGAGAGGCCAGCCATGACCACCGGCCATGCGAGGGAGGGCATTACAGATCTGCAGATATATATATCTATATTAAGGTGACATTGTAATCAGCTGCTGCCAGGAATGGTGAAGATGAATAGGAGCTGGGGGGGGGTGCATCCCTCGCCTTCTCGGGTTTTTGTCTGTGTCGTGTAACATCGGCAGGCTCTATGTGTGTCACGGAACCTGGTGCCGGTCCATCCCAGGCTCTTGTACCACAGCCGCCCTGAGTTCTTTTCTCTTGCTTTCTACGGAGTCAGCCCAGGAAAGTGTCCAATTGTGTCCCTCATTCTGTTCCTACTATTGTCTATCTGCCTGTGTCAGCCTCTTCTTTAGCCCATTACAACCTCGTCCCAAGGCAGTGGCTAGGCCCTGGGGACCCTTTTTGCGGATCATCAAGAAGTACAGACCCCACAGCCAAGGAGAGGCGACAATTGTTGCCATTGCAGCATGCATCCTCATGCAGCTTTGCCGCCTCTGTTACACTGCCCCGCTGTCCTGTCTCTGTCTTCTCTCTATGCATTGCCCCCTGGGGGAGCAGCGGCATGGGCGCTGTCCTCTGAGAAGTAGCTGTCCACAGACATACTCAGGGTCAGAGGCCTGTGAGAACTCGTGTAGCTGGTGCGTGGCAGGGCTTGCCCATCACCAGGCCCCTGACCCTTCTTGCGGCTTGTCTGCCTTGGCCACGCCCCACCCCAGGAGCTCTTGCCTTGGACTTGGCTTCTCTCTTGTTCCTGGTATCTCTATTCCAACCTTAGGACATTAGAGCCTGCTCCCTGCAGGCCCAGGCCTCAGGCAAGAAGTGGCTGTGGCAAGCTGCCACAGGTACCAGAGATGGTGGAGAGGACACCCGACAGCCCTGATGCTGCGACCTCACTCTTTGCCCCTCCTGAAGCTCTGCCTGAGCGGTGTGGGCCTGCCAGCGAGTGCTGGCCAGGGTGGCTGCAGATCCTGGTTCCTACTTGTACTTGCTCCTTCAGCACTCAGACGCCCAGCATTACTCCTAAGAGTTCCCAAGGCTCTTGCCCCGCTCCTGGGGGTGCAGCACCAGGGATGCCCAAGCCAGGTGGCTTGGAGTCACCTCCACGTGGTGTCTCTCTTCAGTGTGCTGGGTCTGGGGCTGGAGGAGTCAGCCCTGGCGAATGGGCTTCAGGCAGCAGGCACAGGTGCGCGCTGAGTGCCTGTGGGCCAGGCCTATGGTGGCGTGGCCCCTCCTACTCTGCTTCTGTTGGCAGAAGACAAGAGGGGACTGCGCTCGGGGGGGAGTGGCCAAGAGAGACACTGGACAGAGGCGTAGTCACAGCGGAGGGCGGTCAGTAGCTCAGGGGCTTCTAGTGGCAGCGGCCTTGAGCGTACCGGCGAGCCTGCGAAGGGTTCTCTCTGCTGTCTGTCTCTCTGCTCCCTCATGAGCTTCCTGCTCTCTATGATCTGAGCGTCTTTTTCTTTCTGGCCGTCTTCCAGGTGACCAACGCAGAGACAGCCATTGTGGCAGGAAAGTGCCTCCTGCCTTGGAGGGCCTCATTGGTGCTGCGACCCAGGTCTGCCAGCCTGCCAGTCCTCATGATTTGTGGACATTGATCAGTAACTATGGCTCTTTACCATCTGTTTGGCAGTATGCTGTTGTTTCAGTTCAACGATGAACCAGGAGATGAGTACGCCTACATGTTTCTTGGCCCAGGTCCAGAAGAGGCCTAGCACAAGGTGAGTGGCTCAGTCTCTCCTCTGTGGCGCTTTCCTCTATGGTTACCGGACCTGGGTGGTGTGTATCATGCAGGTCTGCAGGGGAAGAAGCAATGGCTTTTTATTGCAGTAGTATATATATTTGAAATTAAGGTATTAAGGCTCTATAGATGTGCTCCAGCTCTCTGTTTTGTTCCTTAATGAGTGTAGCCCCGCTGCAGCATACAGCGCGATGAGAAGGATAGTGATAAGCGAAAGAAAGCGATTCAAGTCAGGAACTCGGCCTTGAGTGAGGGTGACAGACAGGCGTCTGCGTGCTGGAGGCGCCAGCCGGACAGGCAGGTGCGAGAAGAAGCAGGAGCAGTGGCCGACAGAGCAGAGAACTGCAGCGACAGCCTGGCCTAGGCCTGGGTCTCCTTGGCGACAGATTGGACGCTGGACGTGGTCCTGTCACTCAGCAGGAGCTGGGCTGGCATGGACCCAGACCCCTGGTTGACATGGGCGTACACTGCTGGGTGATATTCATGGCAAGTGAGTCGGCTGATGTAGACTGTGCTTCTGCACAGATGGGGCCCCCAGCCCTTCCATGGCTGTTATGCTGGTGTAAGAGACAGAAACCAGCCCCTAATTCAGGGTGACGTAGGGACCGCTGGCAGGTGTGGTCCGCTGCAGTGACCGGCGGTCCTGGGGGGCGTGATGAACAGTGGAAGGGGCGGCCTATCTGGGTGGATGTGTGAAGGTATGTCTGGAGCGACCCAGCCATGGGAGGTGTGGGAGATGGAAGTGAAGCGCGTCACGGGAGGCCCTTGGGCTGGAGGTGAGCTCAGGAAAACCCGAGTGTCCTTGCACCTGTGTGCCCGGCAGGCCTGAGGGCAGGTGTGGGCCGTGGCTGAGGAGCGATGACAGGAATCCCCAGAAGTGTCCCCAGATGCTCTGGCAGGCTCCTTCTGGACGCTTGCCGTGGTGCGGTGACCTGCGCAGCACCCGGCAGGCTCGGGCTACACGGGGCGGGTGGTCACCTGGTCTCTGGAGGTCCACGTCCAGCTCCGGGTCTCCATGGGCAGGTGGCTGCGTCCACTGTGTTGTGCGAGGTCAGGGTGGGGGCGAGGAAGGACTCAGGTGCTTGTTCCAGGCTTGTGGGAGAGGCACTTGCAGCTGAGGAGACAGGAGACAGAGGAGCTGAGGATGAAGAGGTCGGCAGAATAGCCACATTGAGCATTTCTGAAACAGCCCCGAAGAATGGTCACAGGTGTCCTCAGCATCAGCTTAGGCAAAGCGTTCGTGTGGTTGTTCGTTCTTGTCACCTCCTGCTTCCTTTGAATGGACCCACGACTGTGGTCTGGCACGCGCCTGCGGTGCCCGTGCCGGAGCCTCTCTTCCCAGGAGAGGAGCCTGAGGCCCGCACTCAGTGTCGCGGGCCGGCCTGGAGGCTCCACACCTGCTCCCCACTCCTGCAGAAGGCTTCAGGGGCCCTCCTCCTGCCACAGCCCACAGCTTTCCACACGTTGCTCATTTCCAGTGAAGCCCGGGACCTGGGAGGGAGCTGCTGGCCCCCGCGGAGGCGGCGCTGGACCTCTGCTGCCCAGCGGGAGCGCGCGCCAGCCCGTGCCCAGGAGGCTTGGCGCTGCATGTGTTGCCCGTGTGTTGGGACATGAGTGTCTGTGTGTGTTGCTGTGTGTCAGCCATGAGTGTGTATGTTGTCTGTCAGGCATGGAGTCGTGTGGAGTGTGTTAGTGTGTGTCAGAGCATGATGTGTGTGAGCATGTTGGTGTTGTCAGGGCTTGGCATGTGCGTTGTTAGCGTGTTGGTGTGTGTAGGCATGAGTGGGACTGTCACCTCCATGGACTGCTGAGTCCCAAACACCTTGAACATCATATCAATTTTCAGGACAGTGTTCCACCCTGCCAGACTTCCTGGCTATATTAGTTTCTCTCTCTGTCTGGGTTCTCTGTGAGTCTCTATTATGGCCTCTATATTAGAAATGACATTAATTTTCCAAACCTTTTATTAAAGCCTAAGACACATACACCGCAGCATGGTGGCATGTGCGTTCAGCTGGTGCACATTGGCAGATGAGCACTGTTGTGCAGTGAGCTGTCACGGACACAGAACGTTCCCGGCTCCAGGAGCCTCGCTGTGATCCGATCTAAATTCTAGTCCCTAATGGGATCTTGGCACTGTTTCTATGTGCAGGCATCGGGTCTTACCCATTTTCCTACTCTAGGTAGAGGAATCCACTCAGCAGGTACCTTTGTGTCTCACGATGTGGCTCATGCCACGTGTTGGCTCAGTCTGTTGGCAGGTGTGGGCGCGGCACGAGCAGGCTCACTGCTGTGTGGGATCCCACTGTGTGAACGTGCCACACCCTACATATTCATCCCTGTCCATGTGACCGCCAGGTGTTAGCCACTGGGAAGAACCCTGCAGCCCAGATTCCAGAGTGTGTTTTTAGGTGCACTTAATGGGCACATTTCCCTAGACCAACAGAGAAATTGCACCGGATGCATATCCCTACATAAATGCACGCGCATATTCCAGTTGTTTGCCCACTTTCAACTTGTTTCTCTCCTGTTTCATTGATTTACGAAAGGCAAATATTGAGCAGCTGTTTCTGAAATATCTTCTTGACAGAGAGACACACTGATATATCTAATGGATTTGGAATTGGGCCGCACAACTTGTAAAAAACATGACGAAGACATCGACAATTGCCCATTGCAAGACGGCGCAGGAGAGAAAACGGTCTGAGAACAAAATCAGCCCCAAAGCATCTTGAATCTTTCAGGAATGAAAACAACCTCCAGGGCACCTTTGGGAGGAGGCTCAGGAAAGTTGTCAGGGGTGATCTTGGGGCAGAATGGGGACTCTGAGACCCTCTCACTTGGGTGTCAGGGCTCCTGCACAGGCCACCTGCACATGCCCATGGCCTTCTCCCCTGCGTGGAGCCCTCTCTCTGGGTCCCAGCCCTGGACCTTCCTGAGACCTTTGAGATCTGGGCAGATGATGCTCTCCCTGTGGTCCTCACTCTTCTTTGCTCGTGTTCCCGGAGATTGGAGGACTGTTTAGTTTATATGGTCACCCAAGCTGTCCCTCTAGTCCCTGTGCCACTAGGACATTTCTGGGTCAGTCTGAGCTCTGACACCATGATCCTATGACTGACAGGTGATCCATGGGATCTCAGAGCTTGGGCGTAGGCCTCGATCAGGGTGACGAGGTCACTGGGGCTGGTCTCACCCTCCCACCCCATCCTGTGGGCAGTCTCCCCGTGGGGTGGGTTTATAGCTGCAAGGAGAGGGGTGCCCGTCTAGTGAGCAGTTTGCTGGCTCCCCCAGAACACAAGGGTTGGGGATAGCTCCTGTCCCTGGGAGGCTGTGAGTGGACAGGATGCTTCAGGGGACAGGTGATGGCCCCAGCCAGGAGCCCTTTCAGGAGTCTCCAGGCTCAGGTGGGAGGATTCAGCCGCCTCTGCCCATGGTCCTGGTGGAGGCTTGGGCTTCTCAGGCTCTGCCCCCGGGCGACTGTTTTTGATTTTCAGGTTTTATAGTTTTCAATGCATCTTATCCCTACTGTATGCCAAATGCTTCAGATGCATTACATTATTTTCTTATTTTTGTGTTGCAATTATTTCATTTCAGGTTCTCTGCACGTTTGTCGTGGATGTCCGACCTTGGTTTTCTGAGTTCAAACTCCTGAACAGCACCTGTGTGCAGGAAACGTGGTGACGGAGCCCCTGGCAGTTCACGGGGGAAGCCCCCTCTTCCTCTAGAATATGACAATCTGTAGTCCCAAGTCTCTGCAGCACCAGCAGAATTAAACGCATCTCAGCATTTTGTGGGTCCCTGAGAAGTTTTGTGCTCTCCATACTGTGTATTTGCTGTGGAAGCTGCTGCCAGCAACACACGAGGGTGAATTTATTATCATTATTGTTATTACTCTGCTTGCAGGTGCAGAGTATTGAGTGAATCACACTCCCCATTTGATGTGAGCAGTTCATGTAGGGGCCAACTAGTTGGTTTGTGTGCTCATTCATTCATTCTCCCATTCTCTCATTTGTTCATTCATTCTTCAATTGCTCTATGCCCCCCCATTCATCTAGTCCAAAGGAAGGCAGAACATTTTGGCAGCTACCTGTGTCCCCTCTGTTTCTATCTCAGGAACAAGGCTCACAGTGGGTGGCCCTTCTGCAGAGGGGCCAGGCCCAGGCCCAGGGCCACACTAAGGGGTCAGGGAAGGTAACTGAAGCTGAGAGGAGGCTCTGCTCTCTGGGGACACCACGGGCTGAATGACTGACAAGGATGTCTTCTGTATTGCTCAGACAACAGCTCAGATGGTAGCAACTCCAGTCCCATGTTCCCATCCTCTCCTGATCCCTGAGTTCCACATCTGGGGCCCAGACTGGCCTCCATAGCTGTCAACACCATTCCCTGCCCTGGGGGTATATGTCCCAGGGACAGACCGCCACCCTGATGGGCAAGTTCCTCTGCTGGGGTCCTGGTGGGGAAGCAGCCTTGTGGGGGCACAGCAATGGAGATGTTGGGGGACATGGGTGGGACAGAGAGACAAGGACAACATCACCTGGGGGAATCGGTCTGAATGGAAGAGTCAGGGGTCTTTCCTCATCCATGCTGGGTTTCTGGGGACTTTGATTTGAATGTCCATTGGTCAAAAGTCTGCCTTTTTTCTGGCTGGCCCATTCCCATGAATGTGTCATAAGGGCTGAGGGGACAGGATTTGAGACACAGCTCTGGGCAGCTCCAGTGGGCATAGCACAAGGACGGATCCTGAGCCAGCTTTGGCCTTTCGACCGGCCTGTGTGCAGGAATGTCACACCTCCCACAGTTTGGTCGGGCATATTCACATTACCAAGGGCGTGTGTGTGTTCAGCGGAGCTGGCCTATGGCTGGCCCTTGGCTTGAGGGCTGTCAGGCTCAGAGGTTTGGAGCCTTGTTCATGGAGCCCAGGCCCACTGTTTGTGGACAAGGACAGCAGACCCCAGAGCTCTGGCCGGCCTTGCTCACTGGTGGAAGCTCCTTTACCTTCACCTCCCTGCTCCATCAGGAAGGCCGGGGGTCCTGCTCTTTCAAACAATATTCCAGTTGTGTTCTACCTTGATCCACACAAAGTCCTCTTGGTTTCATTTTGCATTTCTGTGAGAGGGCATGCTTTACCCCTATCTATGGTATAGGAGAATATTTTGGCCTCATATCAGAAATATATGAAGTCCTCACGTGATTGGCACTTGGGTCCAAGGTTGTAAGTGGTTTATTAAAGATCTCTGGTTTTTAGAAATTGTGTTAATTGCCATTAGCATATTTGTGGCCCATCTTTCCTCTGGTTCCAGCTCTCACAGGAATTGAAATCATGGCCCTATGGTGTATTTCACTGAGTTGATACTCAGCAGTCACAGCCTGTGTACGGGTCTTTGATAGGGTTCGTGAATTTTGTGCTTGCCTCCCATTTTCATATGATGAGCACAAATTAGTAGATTTGTGCCTCATGTGTCAGTATTCAAGACCCGCCAGAATCCAGGCGTCTCTGTTGTGTGACCGTGTTCTAGAGAAACCTCTTTTCATTTGGTCTAGTCATTAGTTGGCTGAAATCAGTGGGGAGTAAACATATATTTGAATGTTATACACAAAAAAGTTGATGCATATTTCAAACATTCTAGATTTCCATAAGGTTCAAAATGTTTGTTATGTTTCATGGGATGCCCTGAAGTGAAGGAATATGATTCATTTGTTGGCGCCCCTCTTGAGACTGGGACTTAAGCGAAATCTCAGCACTGGAAGATCATGGGAAGCTCCCAAGGAGGAATGGAGGATGGTAGAGGAGGAGGAGGAGGAGGGAGGACCATGCTGCCTGCACAGTGCCCATTGTGACATTCACACAATGTGGATCATGTCTCTTAACCCTCACCTCAGCCACCCCCTTTTACCTCAGGGCACTGGGCAGCTACTCTCGTGTGTAATCACTGGGGTTTTCTGAACCTGACCTCAGGGTTGAGTGAGTCCTCACCCATGTCATCCATTATCTTTTATTTTTTTGGACAGAGTCTCACTCTGTTGCCCGGGCTAGAGTGCGGTGGCCTCAGCCTAGCTCACAGCAACCTCAAACTCCTGGGCTCCAGCCATCCTCCTGCCTCAGCCTCCCGAGTAGCTGGGACTACAGGCATGTGCCACCATGCCTGGCTAATTTTTTCTATATATTTTTAGTTGTCCAATTAATTTCTTTCTATTTTTAGTAGAGATAGGGTCTTGCTCTTGCTCAGGCTGATTTTGAGCTCGTGACTTTGAGCGAGCCTCCTGCCTGGGCCTCCCAGAGTGCTAGGATTACAGGTGTAAGCCACCGCCCCAGGCCACCACCCCATTATCCTTTTAACTCTTGTGTTTCGGCTCCCACAGACCCATAGGTAAAGGACCCATGTCCTTTACCATTCCTTAAAAGGACAAATCAGAGACATAGTGACACTTGCCACTGCCACTTGTTATCTCCTCTTTGTGATGCTTCCCAAATATTATTTTTTCAGAACAAAATTACCCACCACAGAAACTGCTGTGGTTTATTTCCTCCCTGTGCTCTCTTAGGAGGTTACGTTGTCAGTCCAGGAACATCATCAGCAGACCAAAGCAGCAAATCTATTCCCAAAACCGCCACAGTTGTCATGAAGAGCTTCTCGTCTGGTCTCCACCTGCCCCACACCAGCCTCCATAGACCCTGCACGACCTTCCCATTCCTCTTCCAGCCTCCTGGCAGCACCCCACCCGCACAATTCTGCTCCTCTTTGAATGATGATACCTACCGCCTCTGTGGTGGTCTGTGCTTTGCGCAGATCTGTCCTATGGCCTATGGCCCTGGGCATAGCAACCAGAAAAATCTAAAATGTCATCCAAATCAGGCAGAGCCTCAAATTATCTCTATATTTTTAAAAATACAGAAGGTTCATTTTAAAATAAATACCGAAGGGAATTCTCTGGACACAAGGAAAACTGTCCCAAATGTAGAAATAGTATGGTAGGAAGAAGGAAAGAACACTCGAAAGAGTACATTTGTGGATAAATCTAGACGATATGCTGAGTGTAAAAAAACCAGTATTGCATTGGAGATTGTACAATATGTACAGGATTCGTACACATGAAAATAATAGCGCAAAGTTAGGAGAGAAGAACATGTAGCTAGAATGATGTCAAAAGACTGAATGCGCTAATTAAAATACAAATTCATCTGACTTTAAAAAACAAAAGAGAAAAACACGAAAAGGAAACACATCTTAAATGTAAGAATATAGAGACTTTGGAAAAATAAGAATGGTTTAAAGTGTATGCCAACACTAACCAAATGCCAGTGTGGGGGTACTACTATCATATACGACAAACTCTAAGATAAGAAGCATTGCCTGAAATAAAGATTGATATTTCACTAAAGATATAACACATCTAAGTATGTATGCCCCATCTCAAAATATATAAAGCGAAAATGGCAAGAACAAAAAGGAGAAGTAATTAAATTCGCAATCGTGGTGACAGAGTATAAAGCACAACTCCCAGAAACTGATGAAACTAAACCAACAAAAAAGAAATCAGTAAAGACATGGAGGTTCTGAACAACACAGGATCAAATTGTACTTCTGACTTACATAGTCACTGAAAACACTAGGTGATTTATTTTCAAGTGCACATGCAACATGTTCAGAATTGATCAATTCTGTTGCAGAAAGCAATTCTCAACAAAATTCACAGGCATGGGTGTCATCCAGACTGTGTTCTAGAACGACAGTGAAATTGAGCCAAAAGTCAAAATATTAATTAGACAAGACAAAATATTAATTAGAAGCTTCCAGATCTACAAAGAAGCCTCCCAGTTCCTTGCAAATCCTTCTCGTCCCCAGACCTGGCTCTCTACCTGCAGTGACCCGGAGATCGAGGGGTTACAGTTGGAGGATGTGCTGCTAAGAGAGCGAACCCTTTGGAGGGATGCGTCTTCAAGAATGACAGCTCCAGGATGAAACCTTACACGTATCTTTTAGGCCCCACCACAGGCAATGCCAAGGCTTGGCCAGGGCAGCCTCATGGGGAAGCTGCCCTGCCCACTCGGCCAGTGTGGGGCTGTCTCTGCAGGGAGCTGCTGCCAGGGACTCAAGCACTCCTCCCTTGGGGGTGCAGGTGCCCACTGGGACCCTGCTCGGCTGGGACCTCCTCATGCATGAGGGCCACCGGGAAGCCCCTATACTCACTCTGACTTGATTCTCAGTCCTCTCCTACCCTGCATGCTTTTCCCTTGCCCTCCCCAGGGCAGGGGTCCTCTCTGGGTCATCTTTTCCCGTTTATTCATTCTCTTTTCTCCCCACACCCACTCCAATTCTCTGCCCCTTTTCTTCTTAGACCGCCATTCTTAGGTCTTTTAGAATATCTTCTACAGTTGGTGTTTTCGAACAATGGGTAGGATTGTTTTGTGTGTGTAATATTTATGGAATTGTGTTACTTATCTACTTAGAAGATTTACATTTTTTTTCAGGCAACACTGTCTTTGAAAAGATCCATTCCTGTTTCTACGTGTCCCTCCAGGCTAGCTTCCAACTCTTGCACAGTGCTTTGGGGCCCCTCACCCATTTTACCCTCCCTTCCTTCCAGTCCCAAATTACTTCTGACGCCCTGCCATCAAATTTGCTGCAATTATCTTCTTCCTTCAAAGTCCCTCGTGGATGTCCTTGAGAAATTCTTTGGAGTGTACCCAGAAATGCACTTGCTGTACCTCAGGGTTTGCAAACTCTTGATTTGCCCTCCAGGATGGAGGCACCAAGTCTTCTTTTCTTCCAGTTGTGCAGGAGGTATAG